CATGTGAAAGGTGGGGACAGAGAGAGAGAGAGAAAGACCGAGAATGAATAGATTATCCTTTGGGTACTACAACTACACTTACTACGATGAAAGAGGGGAACCCAACGAGGGATGGACCTTGAAGCATGGAGGGGATTGCCTAAGTGCGTAACACCCCAATTCTAAAATCTTTCTTCTCTTTTCTTCGTTGCTTCCATCTCCCTTAACCAAGTCCCAGGGTTGGCGCTGAATTTTTGAACGACTGACCTGCTTTTCTCCCTCTTAGTAAGAGCCCCATATTTGGATCTTTATATTTACGCGATTTACGCCGAATGTTCTTACTCTAAAGAGGCCCCTTTATATGCAATTTCCAATGGCCAACGACTTGTACGCACTGTTTGTACAACTCTGCTCTTTGTCTCGAACCCTAGTTTCGGGCTTTCAACATGCTACGTTTATTGACACAAAAACAGCACATTTGAGATTATCATCGTCATTTCAGCGGTAGTCGATTATTCACAGCCTTTTATTTCCGCTAGTTATTTGCATAAATGTACTTTTTGAACCCACACCATCATGCATTATTGTCATCATTACAATGTAATGCATGACAATTGATTTTTGTTATTAGATTTCACCGTTATTATTATTATTTTTATTGTGTATTTATGTATTTATATGACTTGAAGTAAATTAAAGGTGCATTTTGGAACTTATTTATTTTTAAAATCAATCTCTGGAAATAGTGACAGAACAAAGAGTATTTATTTATTTTTTAACTCCACCAAATTGGAGTAATAATTGTCAAATATACTTTTCAACCATTTAAATAGATATATATTTTTTATTTAAAGTTAATTCAATTGTGTTAAATAAATATTTTAGTTGACTTTTATATGTGACAATGGATTTTGTTATTAGATATTATCACCATCATCATGATAATAATTATTTTCCATTGTACATGAATGTATACACTTTAATTCGTAATTTTCGATGTTCGGTTTCGCCTTTCAAAGACCCTTTACGATCGGCAATAAAATTATGCAACGTGTAACACAAGTCGTTTCTTATTTCAACTTCTGTTCCAGGAACGTCACGTATAATAGGAAGAATGTGTGTAACAGCACACGTACGTCGAGCTACATGGTTCTCTCTACAGGTATATGTGTTGGAAGAAGGATCAAAATTCATCGCAGCCAACTTCGAGTCTGATCTTCGTTTAGGTAAGCGAAATCGAAATAATTATTCCTATTACGATGTGTAAATAAGACGAGAACATTCCTTTCTCTTATTTCAATTTACAAATACGTACGATTTGTAAATGTTATTGCGATTATGATTCACTGTGATAATATTACTGATTGGATTGTTAATCTGATCAATGAATTAATTCAGTGATGCATGAATGTAAATTTAAGCATCACAGTGTAAAGAAATTGATTTGCAAAAATCATTCAGTTGTAACATTACGATAAAGAGACACTACACGAGTATATATTTATGATAAGCTTTGACGTAACATTTATTCACGATAAACAGTTTTATTTTGGTTGCGTTTGTTCTGCAAATTTATTTTAATATTGATATAAACCACACGTACCACAAGTTTATCGGTTAATTTTTTTCTTATCATGTAGTTACAATATCCATTTCATTATTTATGATTTTATGGACACACCATTTTATTATTATTTAATGGAAATTACGAATTATTGTTCAATTCATAAATCACCAAACGAATCTTGTAGAATTTATTTATAACATCAAGTAATAAATCTGCTCTCAGAAATTTATTCATTACGAAAAACGAATTAATTAATTGATACTCAGAGTTCAATTCTATAGCAATTATTTATTCGTTACATTTTTTAAAATCATGTTTTTATGTTATTTATTACTCACATATTTCGCATATTTATTTCTATAAAATTAATTTTAACCTTGATCCAAGTATCAATTAATTTTTCATTAACTATTAAAATTTTTATTACATAACTTCAAATATCAGTATGTAAATATTTTTTGCAATTTTCGTTTTAGCTTCGATACTTCTCTAAAAGTATATTTTTATATAATTTCAAAACCTACGGGACATCACACGAATTTTCGTGAAATTTACGTGTTTGGCGTGGTTGACGATACTCTAGAGCCGTCGTGTTACGATAAATAAATAACTCTACTGGGGAGCATCCCTGTTGAGGAGATAAAAGAGTAAAAGAGGATGAAAGAAAAAATTTGAAAAAAAAGCCTGATATTCGCGACACGATCGAATTAGATGTTTTTAAAAAATAAAACTGTCCTGGAGAGAGAGAGAAAGAGAGAGTATAGACGAAGTATAGTTTTCAAGTGACCTTGGGCTAAATTTAAAAAGGGGATCGTTCGCAATTTAGCGACACATCCGACTGTACGAGCTGAATCTTTTGACTATCTAGCTTTTATACTCCTCTATCTCACATCAATAGCACCACACGCAAGGCAGTTAGTTGAACAAAAAATTATTTTGAATTTAAAGGAGTATTGGAGATGTAATCATTTTAATGTGTTGTCAATTATTTTTTATTATTCTTTGGAATAAAAGAGTCGAATATAAATTGTCTCGTGTGAGGATATAGTAATTGTGAGATTCAATGACAACTATATCAAGTCGTTTTGCTTTAATGTATTTTGAATATAGTTACCGGTTTGGAGCATGGGAACATAAATAGACTGGTCTATCAGTGATAGGTACGGAAATGGTGAAGAGATATAAATATCATCACATGATACAGTTAAAAAAATTCATTTTTAATTCTAAAACATTTTTTAATTTTTAAAAATCTATTAACTTTTTTTTCACTCAAGGAAATTCCAATTATCTATAAAAGCATGTCTGACTAAACGGCCTTATCTACTTGAACAAATTTGTTTGAAAAATTGACAGGAAAAACTTTCTGATAGAACTAGAAAAATGTTATTTTATTTGACTTTATTTTTTCTCGGTGTAACTATTTGAACATGCAACTTGTCTAATCTTTATATTTACATTGATGATGATATCACAATAGATAAATCAATTGAATTAAGGTTTTTTAAACCACATAGTTCAAAGCAACAAAGTGGTTTAGATCTCTAAACTACATTTAAACTCATCTCATTGACTACAATTACAAAATAAATTTTATTTATATCATTTACAATGCTAAATTCTTTTTTACTCATTCACTAAAATAAATCTTAAATATTTTATCAAGTTGATTTGTTTTCCTTAAACTTAGTCAAATATGACATGAGAAAATATTGTTATCTAATCTTCAAAATTAAATAGAGAGTTTAAAAATATTTATGAAACTTGTTAGGTTATCGTGATCATTTAATCCGGATTTTTTATAATATTCCTCAAACAGTAATACATAATAAAAACAAAAGTTAGATAACATTTGGTGGTTACACTTACATTCATCACGACTGATTGCAATAGGTCTATTGTTTGGCCTTGAGAATAAGTATTTACTTTACAATAGACGTTATTATGCATTATTATATGTATATATCACTAAACAATAAACATTGTATTACCGATATCAATCACAAAACATTAACTGAGTCGAATTAATTACTTTGCCATTTTTTTCTAGTTAATATTTAATTGTTATCTGTTGTAATTATTTAAAAATAGATAAAAAAATAATTGAATTTACATGTTGCAATTTATTTAGCAACAATGTCACATAAATTTAAAATGTAATAAATAAAATGTACTACTATTTCCTATTTAATATTCAGAAAAAAAGGTAGATAACCTATATTGTGAACTTAAAGCTGAAAATGTTTTAATATTTTATCTTATCTATACTTTCACACATGCAATAAACAAAAAATTGCAATCTTTTTTTACTTTTTATAAATTATTACAAAAAAAAAACGTCTATGTTTATTTACCTTGTATTTAACGTTTATTAAACGTTTTGGTTCCCAGGAAATAACATTTGAATAATAAAACGTTACATAGTTCATTCAATTTACTTACACTTTTAAAAACGATGTCACTTTGTGCGTTTAAAGAGGTTACCTTTCAAGGTTTAGGTTTAGAAATGTGAAAAGACGATTATAAAATGCGGAAATATCGAAAAAAAAGATTTCAAGAAACCGTTATAATCTATTCACAATGAAAATTCCACGAAAATAATATTATATTCAAGAAGATTCTACCACTCGCATCGTTGTCACAGCGTCACTAAAACCAGTCATTTTTTTAAACTTCCATTTCTAGTAATTGAGAATTATTTACTTGAATTATCAACAATACAATCTCAATTCTCCGTTTAATCTAGTTTTATTTTTCTAAGGATAAATTCCTAACAAAAAAATAACCATTTCAATTGACGTTTTCAACTTAAACTTCTCTTAAAATAACCTCATTTTATCGATCATCAAACTATAGATGTAAACGTATTGGAGCGCTCAAAAACTTTAGTAATACCCATGATTAAATAAGAGTTATAATATAACCGACTAAAGATAATAAACATTAAAACTTACCGAACACTTGGAGAAAAAAAACAAATTCTGCAAAAATCAATTGAAACTCAGAGGGTAAAAAATGATTGGAGCCATTTTCAGCCGGTAGTTCATTGAGATGACTTAGGTTCATACCTGCAGCGCATTTGTGTTGATGGATTAAAATTTTGGTTTGTATACAAAGAAAAAGAAGATGAAAAAGGGAGAAACTTATAAGAGCATAGGTGTAGGCTGGTACCGCGCACACGGGGACTAAAGTTTCGGCGTATATACGAAAGAAAGGGCAAAAGAAACACGCGACAAAAGCGAGACAGCCGATGTTTACGTGCAGAAGTGCAAGAGCACCAAGGAGTCTCTCGCAATGTCGCGAAGCTTCGAGCGGGGGGCGCGTGCATCGATTGGCGCGCTAGCCGTGACCCCCACCATTCGCTTTCGCTTTCACCCAATAGGGTCTCACTTTCGCGCTCGCCCGCGCCGAGGCTCAAGCCGGCACGCCGCATGCTGTCCACCGTCGTCGTCACTCTCAGTGACGGGTGCGAGCTCTACGTGAGAAGTTTAAGCTTTACGCAAGTGTGATTGTTCACGCAGCGCCACTGACGCTGTCGTGTTTTGCGACATTTTATTGATAAATTTGAGTTTAAAAAAGGGATAAAACAAATCATCGAACAATTTTTAGTGTTGAAACCGGCGTAATTTTGATTGAGTTATTGGAATTACTGTCAATAAAGGTGGATAAAAGAGCTGTATTTGTATTTTGTTGACGAAAAATACGTCGGTGTTGGAAGGAGTCTAATGGTCGATCAAAAAAGCGAGGGAATTTAAAACACACAAGCAATACAACTGAGATCAACAGCACGTCCGCGCACTACGCAACGGTGACCCTGACATTAGTGTTTACGACTCGCGCCAGTCAAGCTGCTGCTCCTTGTGCCGGTACGGCAAGTGTTGTAAGTACGTGTGTTTTAAAGTCTACAGACAGAGCTTTGTTTAGTTTAGTGAATAAAATTGTCATTTTTATTTGATAGTAATATTTAATATTGATTATAAAAAAAAGCAGACATATCAGGTGCGTTGAGGAGAATTATAAGACAAAGTGCGACGTAGTGTTGGAGTAAAAAAGTAGAATAAAATAGCATCTCGATTTCTTCAAGATAATTGAATCATTGAATGGGAAAAAAACGACAACTTGCTTTACAGGTGCATACAAATAGAGTGACGATCGAGAATGAAAATCAACTGACATCGAGAGAAAAAAACAACGTGGCTAAGAAATATAAACAGTACTTTTTGTGTGATCAACAGTCATCTGAAAGCAGCAGATCATTGAATAAGTCAAAAAAATATACTGTATTGAGTTTTAGTGTGTCACCGGGTATAAGAAGGTCGAGGTTATGGCGCCGAGACGCCACGCCGGCAACAGTCATGGTCTTCTCGAGGTTGGAGTGAATCAAGACGTCATGGAAAACATGGTAAATCATCAAACAATGAACGGAACAACTCGCTGCTGTACTCCATCTGGAGAATGCCTTCGTGGTGATGCACTTATTAGATTTAATGCTCTTCAAGACACTGTTAAAGTCATTTGTAACAACGAAAATTGTCCAATGGGACAATTCATGCATCGTGAATGCTTTGAAGCATGGGAACAGACTTTGCTAACTTACTTGAAGAATTGCGGAAGAGCACGTAGCTGGTCTGAGAGACAACGTCATCAAAATCTGTGGACAAAAAAAGGTTACGACTTGGCATTCAAGGCCTGTGGATGTCGATGTGGTCGTGGACATTTGAAAAAAGATTTAGATTGGATGCCACCAGGTTTTGGTAATGCTCCAGGCAGTCGTGTAGATGAAACTGAAACAAAGAAAAAGAAACGACGCAACCGCCAAAACTCACGGCCAAGCCTCGCTGGATCAGCAGGCCCGCCAAATCATGGTAACCATAGCAATGGCCGTGGCAGTGAAGCCCGAATGATAGATTCGAGCAGAGGACGAGCCGGCTCCCTGTCATCGAGCACCGGTTCTAGCTCTCCACCAGCAACTAGCGAGCCAAGCATCAGCCCACTTCATCAGCCTCAGGCAATAGTCAAAAAGAAGAGTAAGGTAGACTTTTTTGGAGATCACAGGATTCGGTAAGTTGTTGAACATGATAAAATTTTTCTATCGTCTCAATAAATTTAATCCGACAGACGATCGGAAGCCAATTCGGTGCTGCTTTGAAACTCGATCTTGGGTCGAGAACTCAAGTTCTAACGTTCATGTGAATTTACCTTCGTTTGATAGAATATATACATTCCGTCCGATCACGTTATCTTTGTTGGTCTTTTTATTTTCAAGCTAAAGACGAACGAAAAAACCGGTCGTCGAGACCCAGTTGATGTACACGAAGGAAGGCGGAGTTTTTAAACCGCAATTTTAACTAAACCCAAAATCTTCGATGACATTGTGATGATTTTTTGTTTATTATTCTCCAGTTTCAAGACAAAAAATTCCTTTATATTTTGATGCGTAGTTCGTAGTATAGTACTACACTACTTGAACCATGAATGAGTTTTCTATTTTTTTTCTTCCTTCCTCTATCTTCTTCTGTGGTAGCTGGCTTGTATGGCTTGTTACCCAACATAATATATATAATCTACAATCTGGCAATGATTTATTTTTTTCCTCTATACTCTCACGTCTACTCTTGTACACCATAGAAGATAAATAACTTGACATTCAGAAATAATTAAACATTCGAAATATTCCATTAAATTTTATTCTTTAAACAAAAGTTTGATAAATTAGAAAATAAAATGAGGAATGTTTTATTAAACAAACTCTCAAAATATTTCTAGTACATAATTTTCATGTTTATAAAATATCTAATACCCTGGTGAAAATTTTTACTCAAATGTTTGATTATTGCTATTTTTAGATTCCCCCTAAAACTTGTCTTGCTTCTGTTCTACTCTGAGACAGTCAGACCACACCTCAACTCCAAAGCCATACAGAAACATGTTTTTACTGGGTTATTTATTTCACTCAAGAATATAGTTCAGTATATCTATTTTTATCAAGCAGAAACGCCATAAAGTGATGTTAAAAAATGTTCGCATGTTTATCAAGGGAGATGTAGGAAATAATAAAAACGTGTAGGGGAGTCTTTTAGATATGTTTGCGATGGGCGGCGATGCGTGACGAAGGGAAAGGGCTGCCCGTTGTAGCCTTGACCGTGGCCACTTTCTCAGGGCCACGAGCGCAAAAATGAAAGGGAAGGGCTGCTTCCAAGGCCAACCACATCGAAACCGCTGTGGTTCACGATGCATTTAAAGCCCCGTGGATACCATGGTAAAAAAACAAAATTCGCTCACTCGAACAGAATGAATTTAAACTCGTTAGACCACTGAAAAGTACTAGAATATAAACTAGGTTTCGTGTTTTTATTTTATTTTTTTTTTGTCATCATCTCTCTTGCCTCTTCTGTATCGTGTGTGTTCGTTTGCTCTGTCTTTATCTTCGAAACGAGGACCAGGATTCAACGTAATTGTTCGCATTCGTGGGTTTGCTTTTAGGGGATCGGCCACTTCTGCGCGAGCCATAAATCCTTCCCCGCTCGTCGTAGACTCTTTCCTTCCCTTTGTCTTCTTCGCGCTTCAGCTTCATCTCCACTTCTCCCTCTAGACTTTTTTCGTGTCCCGGATGTGCACAACAGCGGGAATTTCTTTGGTTGCGTTGGGTGAAAGAGAGAAAAAAAATTCTCAAAGTTACATAGGTAATCGATTTTGTTCAAGAGGATGAGACTCACGTTATTGAGAATGAACTGCCGATCGATATAAAAAATTTGCCCTGGGGAAACGAATTGGGGGCCAGATGAAATTTTGGCAAATCGCTTGTGGAGACATCAGAGTAAAGAAAAATATTTGGATTGAATTAAAATAAACATGAGTTTCTTTAACAGATGTTTGAACATACAAAAAATAGTTCATTTATACAAAAACTAATTTCTTTGAATCGTTGCTAATTTTTTTTATTCAATTCATAAATTAAATTATATTAAACCAATTGATATACTTTGAATTATTATAACATTTATTATTATTATTATTATTATTGCAAAAGAATACAATATCATAGATCATTTTCAGTGTTCCAAGATGCTAAAAAGCTCATTGACTGATAAAATTTATCTTAAACCATTTCTTTTTTATTTTTTTTTTTACTATTCATCTCTAGCTGTGCTTACACTGCTGAAATTCAAATCGTGAAACATGAGAAATATTTTCCGTAGAAAATAGCGGAAGTTTGTGATCATTAACGTAAATATAAACTTCAATAAACGACTTTGTTTTTTATTTTTGTTTTATATTTCAAAAAAAAAAATAATATACGAATTTTTTTTTCTTATTACTTTACATATTTTACATCACTATTTTAAGATATTTATCTTTGATGTACGTTTTTTTTAACTATCAGCAAAATTATGAGTAAAAGATACGTAGCATCTTTTCGTGGGCGGATTATTCGCATTAAGTCACGGTCGAAGTGTATAGTGTTGGGAAAAAAATAAAAATGACTGTGCTAAAAATTCACGGAGAAGAGAAAGATAATCGTTTTGAGAGACATGAGAGATCTCGAATGGGCTACATTTCTTTTTCTCGTTCCCTTCAACAAATGAAAGGCAAAAAAAAGAAGAGTTATCTTGCCGGTCAAGGTCACCATGTCTTATACCACGACTAGATAAATATTTTCAAATTTCAACATTCCGTGGATGTTATTTTCGTCTTTATCAAAGCACGGTTTATCTTATGGATAAAAGAAAATATAATAAGATGAACAGAAAAAGAATGAGTGATATCTATCGCGTGAATCCTTTTAAAAATATTTACAATACTAAAAAGATGTGCAAAGTGTTGCATGATAAAAGATAGGTGTGGAAAATGTTATTTATTACTCTTATCTTTTATTTCTTTTCTTTCTGATACAGCTGTTGAGCATTTGCAATTTCAAATATCATGCGATTAAAATATGATTTAAGCTGCGGTGCTTTGAAGAATAAATGATAAGCATGATAAATGATGCAATCGAATTACTATTTAGCTTGACAATACGTGAGATAATGATTCGATAATATATTGTAGATTTTATTGGTGACATTTCTTATTTGACGAATCATTGAGCGATAACGATATATTTTTATTTCTTATTTTCTCTTTCAACTTAAGGAAACAACTGTTTGGTTTGAAAATAGCATTTTTCCGTGACTACTATAATGGATTCGAGACTGAGGACTCTAGAACGAGGGTGACAAGATGGAGTTCAAAGAATGACCCTGAACTCCGACCCTTCAAAGCTCTCAAGCTCAAGGATGTCTTAAAGACGACGAGGCGACGTACGGCTCGAATCTCATCGTGTCTTTTCTTTGCTCCGAATTTTTGTTGAGGCTTTTCTTAATTAAACTTTTTGCTTTTTTTTTTCTTTACATCAACTTGACTGCACAGAAAGTCGGTGGATTAACTTTGCTTGAAATGAGCTCTGAAAATGCCAATTAAAAATATCAGTTTTGACTTTCCGTTATTTTCAATTTATTCCTAGAAGAACAAAAAATAACCTTCGAATAATAAAAAGTCACCTTAGCGCCACAGGAATCACTAAACGAGGTGATTGCCAAATTTATGGTAATTTTGAGATGTATAAATTGCGTGAAACGCGCGTAGGAAATTCATTACGCGCACGATAGTGTCCGTTTACTTTCATTAACATTCATGAACTGGCGAGTCACTCCTTTTTTGTCACCGCGTAAGCTGAACTTGCTTACTTAATGAGCTACAGTTGACATAAGACTGGATTACGTATTCGAAATGAAAAAAAATATCTACGTTTTGTTTATTGTCGAAATTGTCATCTATGTAATATTTTTAGCAATATTTTCAAACTTTTTTAATAATAATAAAAAAATTACAAGTCTAAAGTGAACAGATGGCAAATAATATTAGTTTTGAAGCGAAAAATCACTTTAAAGTTGAGAACTTCAAATTCATAGTTTTTTAACTGCTAAAAAAAATATAATTTACATTTTTTTCTTTTTAATTTTGAGAAAGAATTTTTAGTCAGATTTCTACTAAATAATAAATAAAATAAATTTTTTATATAATTAATGAATATCCGCTTTTTTTTAATTCAAAAAAAAATTTAGAATAGAAATGAAAGATATTTATATAAAAATAACTTTATTGACTAATTTAAAATATTCTTTTCTTCACAATTATCACTTAAATCAAATATATTCATTATACAAAGTATTCGAAAAATGTATTGGCTATTTCTAACCACAGTAATAAGGATGTAAAACTCTTTCCCATCCTAGTCATAGTTAATACAAAGTAAGATGGTCCAAGTTGGAATTACTTAGATAAGGTTGTTTCTAAAGACCAACATTACAATATAAATGCATGAAGGTTAGCGAGTCAATCGAAAGAGTTTCTTAGTACAAGTACTGTATTACAGGCAAGTTATTTTGTGTATGTGACTATAAATTATTGTAGCAGTGTAGTTTACTGCTAATTGGTTTGTTAACGTCCGTGTTTACCTCCGGCTAAATAGTGTGTATGCATAACACACATACATTTACTATTTCTCTCATATACTAGGACCTTTTAAATTCGATTAGCAAATTATTCAAATATCTTTCTCGTCTTTAGATGTATGTATTAATATATATCATAGTATATTATTCACAATCATTCCTTGGGATTTTTTTAGTAACATTTTTTCATTGGTATGAAAGATAATAAATAAAAAGTGGAATAAATTTTTTTTAGTCAAGAATGTTAATTTTATAGCACCAGTCTATATTTTTATCGTACAGGACGATTAATATTGTTGATTAAATAAAAAATTACTCATCATTTTGAAAGGAGTATCATTTTTTAAAGTTATTAAAAATTTCTCTTTTTTAATAAATAGAGATGACCTTTAATACTTTAAGGTCTGATGTATCTCACTTTGACTGACGTGCTAAAATGTCGTCCCATCTCGTTCCACAAGTTAGTATTTAACAGCATGACTTTACGTATTTGTAGAAGCACGTTCCTTGTTAAGTCGTCGCCAATGGGGATGCGCTTAACGAAGTGCTTGGTGAGACAGGCAGATT